ACACACACACACACACACACACACTATTTCTTATGTTCATTTGGTCTGAAAAGAAATCAATAAATGTAATATTGTATGCATAACATCCATATGGCTGCACAGCAGGTTTTCCATTGTGGTACAGCATTGTCATATGGCAAAATTCATAATTCTTCCATAAGTCATAATTCATCATTCTCAATTTTCGGCGAAGCTGTGAAAAACTGTTTTGTAACAACATCTAGTTAACATAAAAAAATGAAGTAAAAAATCATGATGTTGAAGAAACATACCGATGATGTTTAACAGAACGTTTCATCTGTGGTCCTGAAGGATAAAAAAAAAAAATCAAAGGTCATGTAGCAACAGCATATTATTGGTTATATTAATGTATTGTTGGAAATAAAGGAGCAGTCTTTAAAGTTGTAGTGTTTTATGGTGAGAAAGTGAGGAAAATAATACTTTGCCACATGGCTATGCTGTATACCCTACAGAGTTGAATAAATGTGCAAAAAAACAAATGAATGTGCATGCCATGCAAAACCCCACAGTGCTGCAAAGTGAAACACCACACACAGAACAAACAGCTCTCAGCTTACACGGCTCAACTGCACTCCAGAGAAAAACACTAATATCAACCAGAGAGAGAGAGAGAGAGAGGAAACAAGAAAGGAGGCCGATAAGATCCACTCAACTCAGATTCGCTTCTCACACAAAGCGGAGGCGCTGTGCGATGGTGATATTCAGGACTTTAAAACACTGAGACAAATTGGCTTTGTGTAAAATCTCAGAGCCAGGTTTAATGGAGGCTCCCCGAGGGAGCACGGAGAGTAATTTGTGGCGGCACGGAGACAAACAAAACGCTGGGGCTTGCTCTGACAGCCACAGATGGATCATAAAGACTTTATGGGAAGATGAGGTTCAGCGCACGAGTCGACTTAAACATGACCCACATTCTTCAGTCTCAAACCTCTCCGCTCGGCTGCACGCTCACGGCCACTTCAGGACTCAGATCCACGAGCAGAACCACTCTGAAAGCTGCTCAGCAAACCAAGTGAGGGGAAAAGAATCATGTTTAAAAGAAAAAGATGACTGCTGTCAGATATTCTGCTAATAAAGATTGCCTACTTAAGATTAAATTTGCAATTTCTGCTTTAAAAAATGGATTTGCAAAATTAATGTATTCAGACAGGTTTCCTGAAAATACATTTCGAATTTTATGACACTACTATAACATCCTGGTATTAAAAAGAAATAAGTGATGCACTAATATTCCAGCCCGTTTTTACGATATTTTACGAGGTGGCTAATTCGTACGACCTCACTCGTACAAATTCATACGATTTTTGCTAAATCATACATGTTTTACGAGTTGCACAATTCGTATGAATTTGTACGAATGACCTACACCTACCCCCGCCCCTAAACCTACCCATCCCTGGGGTCTAGACAAAGTGAGTGAGGTCGTATGAATTTGTACGAATTAGCCACCTCGTAAAATACGTACGAATTGGTCGTGAGATAGCGTTGAATATTCATAGTTCTGACTGATTAAAGGGTTAGTTCACCCAAAAATGAAACTTCTGTCATTAATTACTCACCCTCATGTCGTTCCAAACCCGTAAGACCTTCATCTTCTTCTACTGTCTTCCGCCAATTTGGAGAGTACCCCAGAACGTAATCAACGTAATCAGCGTTGTTTACGTTCAGCAGAAAGCATGCGCATGCTGAACGTAAACAACGCTGATTACGTTGATTACATTCTAGGGTACTCTCCAAAATGGCGGAAGACGGTAATTCGGGGAGAAGAATTGTTGAATAAATTATGTTATCATTGTTTTCTTTGCGTGCAAAAAAAGTATTCTCACGTCTTTGTAAACTCAAGGTTGAACCCCTGATGTGACATGGACTATTTTACTGATGTCCTTGCTACGTTTCTGTGCGTTGATCGTGGTAGTGTCCTTGCTGTCTATGAAGGGTCAGAGAGCTCTCAGATTTCATTAAAAATATCTTAATTTGTTTTCTGAAGATGAATGAAGGTCTTACGGGTTTGGAACGACATGAGGGTGAGTATTTAATGACAGCATTTTCATTTTTGGGTGAACTAACCCTTTAACGTTCTTTATTTGACTAAAATTAAACACTAAAAACCAATAATTTTAATTGCTAAAAGGGGATGTTTAATTTGAAAAATGTTTAATGTTTAAAGATTTGGTAAAATATATTGTGCGTTAAAAAAAATTAAACCACAATGCTGCCATTCCCTGTGAGCAGTAACAGAGTAGAAAACACCAAATTAATATTTATTAAACTATTATTAAATTCCTTTATTTGATCAAAAATACAAAATAAAAATACAAAATCAAAACTAAAAACAGTAATATTGTGAAATATTATTACATCTTAAAATAACTGTTTTCTATTTTAATATTTTTAAAAATTAATATATTAACATTTTCAGTTTCATCAATGATCTTTACAGTCACTTTTAATCAGTTTAATGCGCATCCTTGCCAAATATAATTTTCTTTAAATTGGCAAGGAATTTCTTAATAAATAAAAGAACAGTAGCATAAAGCCAGTCACAAGTCAGATTAGAGCTTAAAAAATACACATCAAAAACCACATATCACCTTGAAAAAGCACAACAAGACATCAAATGAATCACTCTTAAGTAGCGCCGCGCTCTTGCCTAACAGTGACAGCTTTTTTCCACAACCAGAAATGAAACCAGGGGTCAGGAAACTGCGGTGCACTAACAAGAGCATTAGTAAAGAAATGGGCAGAAGAGGCCTGTGGAGGCAGAGGCGTAGAGAAAAGCTCTGCCAATCTATCACAAGAAAACCTTTTGTTCTGGGCTGAATGTGAAGGCCCAGCTCCCAGACTGTGATACCCTCCTCCAGCATGGCACCTCTGGCCGTGTCAAGTCCTCCATCTCTGGCAAGAAGCACCAGAGGGAAGCGACCCGCCGATTAATAATCTGTAACGGCACGAAAAGCCCTCTGCCGGCCGGCCGTGATCGTGACCGCTCTACTGTGGCACAGAGCGCTATTCATCACGGCCAAATGAAAGTCACTACGGCAGAATGGACCTCATTCACGTCGCTGTCCGTTCAAATTACACCGGCCACAAGGGGCCGCCACACAATGTGCCTTGTTTTGGATTTTCCTGATGGGATTCTTCCAAAAGGCCGTTCACGGAAACACCTTGTGTGAATGGACCGCCGGCGGCCATTAAGCATGGAGGATGTGCAATCAGTCTCCAAAGTGTTGAGCGTGAAGAGCAGAAACTGTAATGGAACAAAACCAGGAGAGCCAAAGACATCAAGCAGAGCCAGTGTGTCAATGGAAGTAAACTATTTTTATGTTGTAATGATTTTTGTGAGCTTAAAGTCTTAATACTGGGGGATGTAAAATGATACAAAGGTAATAATTAGATCACTTGCCATCTTATTAAATGCAGCATGAACAGCATGGTTTGATTGTGAAAAATGACTCGGTTCTTTATAATGAAATGGACAAAAAGACCAGTCTTGAACTCATGAGTCACTGGTTTGAATCAAGTCTAATGACTCACTTAATTCATCAGAGCTGTATTAAAGGGATAGTTCGTGCAAAAAATGAAAATACTGTCATCATTTACTCGACCTCCACTTGTTCCAAACCTGTTGGAGTTTCTTTCTTATGCTGAACACACACACACACACACACACACACACACACACACACACATTTTTAATAACAATGGTAAAACAAAAAACATAAAAACAGACAAACATAAAATATTAACACTTGAGACTGTTACCACATGAATTTTAATAATTAAAAAAATTTAATGACAAATTTGCATGTTCATGGTTCTCTAATGTCAATAATAATAATAATAATATTATTATTATTAGTTGTAGCTCTTCTAGTAGTGTTTCAACTAATAAAAATAAAGACAAATATATTCTTGTAAATTACATTTTTACTGTAAAATAAAATTAATATTTGATAATTATAACAATTAAATTGACTATACAGTTATTTAATTAAATTGTAGCCTTTGATTTAATAATCACACAGTAATTATCACACATCCCCATTTATTGACTTTAATTTTATATTTGAAAAGCATATATATTAATAATGGCCATTTGTCTTTTATGAAGCCCCTAAAGGAACATAGTGATGAAAAATTATATTTCAATGCTTTTGCGTTCTTTTGCAAAATTTGTGCATTCTGCTGAAAAACATTGCTTTTGCTGACAAAGAAGCCAAAAGTTTCGCAAAGAAATAGTTTCCCAGCAGGACACAAAACATATGCAGGAGGGAACACATTAAAAAAGCATTAAAGTATTATTTATCCTTTGATCTCATATTTTTTTTCATCACCACGTCCCTTTAAGAGCTATGTAATCTCTATTAGCCATAACATGAAAATATTAATTACTTTGAGACAGAATTTTAATATTGGTGCATCCCTGTTAGTTAGGTCCCATTATTGAGAAGAATGTCTTCCA